GGAGTTTCTCATCAAGGCAGATTTTACAAAGCTATTTGTTGTGTTTCTACTCAAACCCAAAGTCAATTTACAGAATTTACTGTGCACATTTTAAATGTCAGGTGATGCATGGAATCCCCAAACTTCCGATGCATATGTCAAAATTGGTAACACATTTACATCAAAAATTTTGAAACAGACATCTGGTGGCAGATATGAGAATTTACCTAGTCTAGACTGGAGGATTTGAATCATCTTCCAAGCTTGCTGGGCTAATGTCTTCTGAGTTAAACTCCACGAGCCAGAAGAGGATAACTGGACACCGAGATACTTATAATTCGATACTGTGGTGACATCATCATTTCCTATCCTAAATTTTTCCTGATTTCTAAGTTTTCCGCCATTTCTAAAAATGACAACTTTACTTTTATCAGTATTAATAGTAAGTTTCCATTTATCACAATATAAAGATAGTTTATCAAGTCGCTTTTGAAGACCAACAACTGACACGTCCATTAAAATAATGTCATCAGCGAACAACAAGATGAACAGTTCTAGAGTATGTAAGGTAACACCATGAGCATCACACTCCAACTCCTTGACAATGTCATTAATAAAAAATGAGAATAAAAATGGAGACAGCTGACATCCCTGTCTAACACCTGACATACAATCAAAGAAATCTGTAAGACCACAGTCTAATGAAACACAAAATTTGACAGATTTATACATATTTTTAAGAACTCTAAATACTCGTCCCTTGATACCACCCTTCCATAGTTTGAAAAATAAACCATTTCTATACACAGAATCAAATGCCCCTTTTAGATCGATGAAAGCACAGTATAGTCGACCTAAAGTCCTAATGATTTGAACACAATATGATGTCATCATAAGAATAAAACATACATGCCAGAGTCCATGCCTCAATTTAAGGGGAGACGATGTAAAAAATGCCGTGTCATACCAAAAGACGTTAAAAGATACTTGTTGTTACGCTGTATGGCGCTCGGTATTAAGGGGCTAAAACAAGGACTGGTCGGCTCGGAGTCAGTATACTGTGTCTGAGCGGGATATTCATGTTAAACTGCGGCATGATATCTCAGTGAGCTGGCACTAAATCGGCATCTGTCCGGACTACTACAAGCAGCCACACAAACACACACACGTACATGCACGTCGCTATATAAGTGCAATAATCTTGGACGCGACGTTAAATCCCATTTCACCTCACCTAAAGGAACGTTTCCCGTTTTTATATATAATACATGTATATACTTTGAAGGGTTAATTAGTGGCACACGTTTTTATTCATGTAACGAGCAAAAGGCTTCTTGTTCTGAATATGTATCGGAAGGTGGGCAGGGATAAACACCAATTACAGAAATAAATATATTATATCCCCTTCATTATTTTTAACATTTTCGCACAACCTTCTCCCAACAATTGTGACGGAATGTTTGAAGAGGTCAAGTAAATGAAACGTAATAGTTAATTTTATATTTGATGTTCAGACAGACTCCGTCGCTACACTCATAAATAAAAGCGACAGCACCTTTTCCCTAATCAGAAGAAATATCTGCTGAAACATTTATACGATTCCGACAATGTCAATTGTTGTTATAGCAAAAGTTGTTTCATCAAGGTTAAAACATTCAAGGCCTCACCAAAAATTTAAAACAGTTTCATGGAAGACATTTCAGCAAACAAATGACGTCAAAACCACACCTTGAATTAAATTCGTCATTGTTGAAACACTCTGTGATGTTCAAGTGCTACAGCTGATTTGCTTGTCTCAACCTATGGTCTTTATGCAGCACTGTTTCTCCCTGTCGATGTGTCAAAGCATAATGGTTAACTCATCCGCTCGTGGTATAATGTTTAATTACAAGGTGATCTCATGACCATTTCAGTTCAGCGTTCCCTTATGGCGATTCCATTACATCGTATGTTGTTGTATACAAGTCTAGGTAGGGTGTATACCATCAGGGCTAGATGATGTTGTGTACAAGTCTAGGTAGGGTGTATGCCATCAGTGCTACATGTTGGTGTATACATGTCTAGGTAGGGTGTTTGCCATCAGGGCTACATGTTGTTGTATACAAGTCTAGGTAGGGTGTACATCATCAGTGTTACATGTTGTTGTGTACAGGTCTCGGTTGGGTGTATACCATCAGTGCTACATGTTGTTGTATACAAGTCTAGGTAGGGTGTACACCATCGGGGCTACATGATGTTGTGTACAAGTCTAGGTAGGGTGTATGCCATCAGTGCTACATGTTGGTGTATACATGTCTAGGTAGGGTGTACACCTTCAGTGTTACATGTTGTTGAATACAAGTCTAGGTAGGGTGTACACCATCAGTGTTACTGTTGTTGTATACAAGTCTAGGTAGTGTGTACACCATCAGTGTTACATGTTGTTGTATACAAGTCTAGGTAGGGTGTATGCCATCAGGGCTACATGTTGTTGTTTACAAGTCTAGGTAGGATGTATACCATCTGTGCTACATGTAGTTGTATATACGTCTAGGTAGGGTGTATACCATCAGTGCTACATGTTGTTGTAAACAGGCCTCGGTTGGGTGTACACCATCAGTGCTACAAGTTGTTGTATACAAGTCTAGGTAGGGTGTATGCCATCAGGACTACATGTTGTATACAAGTCCAGGTAGGGTGTATATCAGGGCTACATGTTGTTGTATACAAGTCTAGGTAGGGTGTATACCATCAGTGCGACATGTTGCTGTATATAAGTCTAGGTAGGGTGTATATCATCAGTGCTACATGTTGTTGTATAGAAGTCTAGGTAGGGTTTATGCCATCAGGGCTACATGTTGTTGTATACAAGTCTAGGTAGGGTGTTTGACATCAGGAGTGCATGTTGCTGTACACAAGTCTAGGTAAGGTGTATATCATAGCTACATGATGTTGTATACAAGTCTAGGTAGGGTGTATATCAGGGCTACATGTTGTTGTATACAAGTCTAGGTAGGGTGCATGCCTTCAGAGCTACATGTTGTTGTATACAGGTCTAGGTAGTGTGTATACCATCAGGGTTACACGATGTTGTATACAAGTCTTGGTTGGGTGTACACCATCAGTGCTACATGTTGTTGTATACAAGTCGAGGTAGGGTGTATGCCATCAGTGCTACATGTTGTTGTGTACAGGTCTCGGTTGGGTGTATACCATCAGTGCTACATGTTGTTGTATACAAATCTAGGTAGGGTGTACACCATCAGTGTTACATGTTGTTGTATACAAGTCTAGGTAGGGTGTACACCATCAATGTTACATGTTGTTGTATACAAGTCTAGGTAGGGTGTATGCCATCAGGGCTACATGTTGTTGTTTACAAGTCTAGGTAGGATGTATACCATATGTGCTACATGTAGTTGTATATAAGTCTAGGTAGGGTGTTTACCATCAGTGCTACATGTTGTTGTAAACAGGCCTCGGTTGGGTGTACACCATCAGTGCTACAAGTTGTTGTATACAAGTCTAGGTAGGGTGTATGCCATCAGGACTACATGTTGTATACAAGTCCAGGTAGGGTGTATATCAGGGCTACATGTTGTTTCATACAAGTCTAGGTAGGGTGTATACCATCAGGGCTTCATGTTGTTGTATACAAGTCTAGGTAGGGTGTATACCATCAGTGCGACATGTTGCTGTATATAAGTCTAGGTAGGGGGTATACCATCAGTGCTACATGTTGTTGTATAGAAGTCTTGGTAGGGTTTATGCCATCAGGGCTACATGTTGTATACAAGTCTAGGTAGGGTGTTTGCCATCAGGAGTGCATGTTGCTGTACACAAGTCTAGGTAAGGTGTATATCATAGCTACATGATGTTGTATACAAGTCTAGGTAGGGTGTATATCAGGGCTACATGTTGTTGTATACAAGTCTAGGTAGGGTGCATGCCTTCAGAGCTACATGTTGTTGTATACAGGTCTAGGTAGTGTGTATACCATCAGGGTTACACGATGCTGTATACAAGTCTGGGTAGGGAGTATACCATCAGTGGTACATGTTGTTGTATACAAGTCGAGGTAGGGTGTTTGCCATCAGAGCTACATGTAGTTGTATACAAGTCTAGGTAGGGTGTATACCATCAGTGCTACATGTCGTTGTATACAAGTCTAGGTAGGGTGTACACCATCAGTGCTACCTTTTGTTGTATACAAGTCTAGGAAGGGTGTACACCATCAGAGCTACATGTTGTTGTATATATATACGTTGTCTCCGCACGGTGTATCTCATCAAGGTAATACATTGTTTATGCGTATCTAGGTCATCAAGGTAACATGAAGTTGTCTTTGTCGACTCGTGTTGTGGAATGCAAGTTCTTGGGTCTTGAGACAATTCATATAAAACAAAATCGAACACATTATCGATCATAATACACTTAATGTTTATGTTGACGTCCATTTATGAACAAACATCGCCCTGGTCAAGAGCAAAAGTGCTTTTAGTTCTATACGTATTTTTTAACGAAAAGCCAAATCACTTGTATATAAATTCAATATTTTTCTTCTTATCAAAGTTTTGTCCATGTCACCGTTACAGTAGAACATATTCGTGAGCCTTCTGCGCAGGATCGGACCCTGCTTGTGCCTGACGTTTTTCGTCATTTTTGTTTTATCTGTAAATTATATGATAAAACAAATGTTCCATCAACACTCAGTCGGATTTAACTGACTTTTTAGAGGAATCATTGCACACCAACAGTGAGATGTACAATTTAAGACCAACATGGCTTTTGTTAATATTGAAGAATCACCGCGTTGACAATGGGCGTTTAAAGAAAATGAGAAGATATACACACATTGAGGAAAATATACTCGTTATAGTTATGCGCTGGGGTTTAATTTGGTTTCCAGTGTGTAGAAATGTGTCCAGTGGGGTTCCATATCAAGAGCATGGCGTGTTTCACGAGACGTCCGTGCTCGACATGTCCATCTACAGATTCCATTGTTTTAAGGGTTGTGATTTTTCAAAAGGATAGCCCATGTATTCTCTCTCAGTTGATTGATACTGAATACCCATAAGGCCGCGGGCACGGGCTTGTTGGCTTAATTGGTGTAAATGGGCCAGTGTATAACACGGATACTTCCCATGTTGCATCACGGTTGTCGTTCATCGCTTCGTTCTCATCGCTACATTTACTCGCTTTCCATCATGTTGAACGTTCTGCGGAGTTTTGTACAGCCTTCAGCCCAGGCGCCTCCGTCTCGACAGGCCACTCCAGAAGCAACTTCTCAGGTCCAACAGGACACTACTCCGGCATCCTCCAGGGTAACATCATCATCGTCGTCAACGCCTTTTGCCATCCGAATGGTGACCACGCCCTTCTTCACACCATCCAAGAGTAGGCAGGCAGCTGGGGCACGGCATCGGGGGCGACTCCAGTGGATGTAAGTAAACACATTAACTTCATAGAGTTCATCCTCTTCAACCAACGTCTCGATACCCGTTCTACTTGACATGCTTACTGCGTATGTCATTGATGCAGTCGTTCATGTCTGAATCTATGTATTTTTGTTACGCTTCTGAGTGAGCGGATTCCAGCAATATCACGGCGGGGAAGGATCTAACCTAAGTCGTTTTGCGTGTCCGGCGAACACTTTACTCGTTACGCTACCCCAGCGTTCCAAAGTCTGTGATTCAGTTTTCTTGTACCGTCATTGGTATGGTGTATGACATCAGGGCTACTGGGCAATATTTTGTTACGGTCACCATGTGTTATCCTATATATTGATTTGGTTTAACTCTTTGTTTTTGTAGCAATATACACATGACCATGTCCTATCCAGTTATTGTTTCATTTGCTTGTAAAATGTACCAACACATACACCAAAACGACGCGTTGAAAGTGAAATGAAAGTTTGATGTACTGTCATAGCACGGGTTTTTCTACAGTTCTGGTCATGAACACAACTATGACAGCTGTATCAACAACAACACCATGGCATAAACCGTCCCTTGATTGTTTCATTGTTAGCCACCACCACGCATGGTTGTCACTCTCCTTTCCCCGGCAGTATGTGTAAGTTCATTGTTTTGGCAATATTTGACATTTGTTTATGTTTGACAGGTTTCTGAATCCGCGGAATTGTTGAAACTCCGAGAGGAAAACCGGAAATTACAAGAGGATATCGGGGAACTAAAAGAAGAAAACCGGCCTCTGAAAGGAAATGTTAGTCAACCACAATGAATATGTTTAGGTTTAACGCCGCCTTCATCAGTCCTTTATGTTTGTGATTGCGTGGCACCACGATGTTGGAGGTGGACCCAAAGTGTCACAGGCCGTGGAGGCGTATCCTGCCTGCACCAGGATGGAACGGCGTCTTAAACTGCAAGACTATTACTGTAGCTATCAGATGTTCAAATGTATCCGTTCTCGGAACTTCAACACAGGACATTGATGAGATAACAAGATCGAATAGATCTATATTTAAAACGACTGATTTGTATATGCATAAAAAATTCCAATATAATACTACTCAAAAGAAGTAAAAGAACATCCGACTCATATGTCCACAGATAATCTGTCATGCCATGACTTTGGTGTTCTTGCACTTCTTATATGTAGTCAGGAGATGATCGTTTGAGAAAGTCGAAAGTGAGACGTTAGATGGTGTGACGTCGCATGCACGATTATTTCAGTCATTTGTTTTATATTCAGTTCATTACTACCTAGGCGTTGTGTTGTCTTCTGGAGCTATAGGTATGGATGTGTGTGGGAAGGGGGATATGCTGTTTTATAATATGGTAAAGATTAGTCTCCAGTTCATTACTACCTAGGCGTTGTGTAGTCTTCTAGAGCTATAGGTGTTGATACGTGTGGGAAAGGGGATATGCTGTTTTTATAATATGGTAAAGATCAATCTCCATGACAATAAAACATGTCCCATGGGTTCATAACAGCTGTGATTGCCGTCAATCTGATCCCTTGTGCATACATATATAACGCAATATAACACGCATGTCCTTTGTTTAGGTTGTCGCTGATGACATCGACGATGGCATCGTCATCCGCCTCGGCATCGCCATCCGCCTCAGCAACGTCTTCCGCATCGGCATCCGCATCCAAACCCACACCCACACCCACAACCGCACCTGCATCAACATCGGCAACAGCATGAACCACGGTTACATTGGCGACCCAGACGGTGCCATCAGTAAGTATGCTATTCAACTACTTAAACATTACTGGCAGTCATTAAAGATTCACTCATGTTGAACCTAAATCTCGCCATAAACCTGAATTGTTTGCTCTCAGCTCAAGTCAATGTTTTAAGGCTTCTTGACATAATACATTTTCTAAAATATTTCCCCTTGTGAGTAATCTGCTACCTCATGCTGGTTGCTCGTTTGTCACTGGTCCGGATGACAGGCAACCGGGATAGAGCTGGAATATTGCTGTCTGCGGCAACATTCACCCACTCACACAAGAACATTTATATATATGAATATATATAATAATGTAATAATAATAAAATAAAATAAGAAAGTTGCTTTTCCATTTTAAAATAGATAAAAAAAAATGTCTTTGCCAGAGAAAGTTGAATACAATATAATAATTTAAAGGTCAAGATAACTTCTTATAAATAATTAAGGGGAAAACGGATCTGACCGGTTTCACTTGAAACTGAAAATAGTTTTTTATTGCATAACTTGCCACACACTATCCCTTATCACAACTATTAAGTAATCTTATGCCATTAGCAGCTATTAATACAACATATAATTAAACGCAGTCATGAATGTTGTTCATTAATATATGACATGAATATTATGACTTTTCTCACTCAGAACCATACACGTGACGAGGCCAGGCAAAGAACAGAACGGAGAAACCAACGCCAGGTCAGGCGGAAAAGGCAACGACAACAGCGCCAAAAGCAAGGAGGGCAACAGTCATACGAGGAGTTGCTACGTCTTCTGGACGAAGCACAGAGGACTTCCGTGAGTTTCATATAGTCTTATCTTTTTTTCGAAACAAATGATATACCGAATTTGATTGAAACCCAGTACCCATTTATTGTGGGTCGTTGCTAATGTTGTAAGCCACAAGTAACATAGTTGACCTGAAGATGTAAGGTGCGTTTAACTGACACACGTCACAACTGCAACAGTCCAGCACTCACTTCAGGGAGAACATCACTATAGCTTGTGTCCTCTTTAGATTTGGTCTTGGACAGGAGAAGAGGGTCTATGCATTGTGTTTTCTTTCATTGTAGAGGGGCCGAGTGCCAAAACCAGCTGGAGTTCTCCAGATGGCGCTGGGAGGAGAGGAGAGTAAGTGGACCGTCATGTGTGTATGTCATCTTTGATCCAGTTCTCGCATTTAGAAAGGGAGGTAATCCATCACATCACCAACTCCCCCACCCAACATACTGCTGGAATATACTTAATACATATAAGTTACATTGTTCCCCGTTCAGTTTGCCCTAAATGTCAACTACTTCTACCAATAATATATTACCCCAGGAGATTCTCGGGGAAGGAAAGGCACTCCCAATACATCATGCTTTGAGTGCGGTTTAAAGCATAATATGAATTGGTACACAAGGCATGTGTGTTTATTCTAACAATTGAATGCTTTGAATAGCTTGTTAGCAGGACACGTGTTAATCTGCAGTCGTTTCACGTAGAATTGCGAAGTATTAACTAGACAGATGCTATTTTTTCTAAAATTAGTATTAATAAATAACTGCAACAGCTGTTATTTTATGAATGTTAACGAAACACTTTTCTGTTCACTCCAGGTGTCGTCACAAAGTATCAAGATGATTTCATCAGACAGGTGTTAGACAGTTGACAGTCATCCCCAGCCCTGTCCCCAGTTATGTTCAGCTTAAGGAATAATCCTCTGTCGCCCTTCTGTTGCCAGACATCCTCAGTCGTTCTACTCTGTTGACAGATATCCTTATTAGCCCTACTCTGCTACCAGCCACCCAACCAGCCTCGGTTACCCTACTGTTACCCTAGACAGCCTCAGTCGCAATACTCTGTTGCTATGCAGCCTCAGTTCCCCTAGGCCTACCGTTGCCAGCCAGCCTCAGACGCCCTACACTGTTGTCAGCCAACCAGCCCGAGTCGCCCTACTGTTGCCAGCCCGAGTCGCCCTACTCTGTTGCCAGCCAGCCTCAGACGCCCTACTGTTGCCAGCCCGAGTCGCCCTACTGTTGCCAGCCCGAGTCGCCCTACTGTTGTCAGCCAGCTAGCCTGAGTCGCCCTACCGTTGCCAGCCCGAGTCGCCCTACTGTTGTCAGCCAGAGTCGCCCTGCTGTTGTTTGCCAGCCCGAGTCGCCCTTCTCTGTTTCCAGCCCGAGTCGCCCTACTGTTGTCAGCCAGAGTCGCCCTGCTGTTGTCAGCCAGCTAGCCCGAGTCGCCCTACTGTTGCCAGCCCGAGTCGCCCTACTGTTGTCAGCCAGCTAGCCTGAGTCGCCCTACTGTTGTCAGCCAGCTAGCCTGAGTCGCCCTACTTTTGTCAGCCAGCTAGCCCGAGTCGCCATACTGTTGCCAGCCCGAGTCGCCCTACTGTTGCCAGCCAACCAGCCAGCCACAGCAACCACGTCAACTAGGCGTTTCTCGGCTGCATACGGTAAGTAGAACTTCATTTAATTTTAGTTCAAGATGTGAATGACGTTATTTCTATGTATATCTTTGTTGAACAAGTGTCAATAGTATCCGTTCGTCCATTATCGAAACTATTTTGCAACTCAAATGGAATTATGTACGTTTTAAAAGGCCACTGAATTATTCTGTTAATAAAAAAATACTCTTTCTTCTTCAGGTTTGGTACAGTCAATGTTACATTCCCTAACACCTGCCAATTACATCGCTTCATGTACAGGAATTATACTTCATTTCTATACCCATGTTCCGACTAAGGGCAGCCTACAGAGGTTATTTTTCTGTTGGAATGTTTGAACCAAGTGGACATGTACATGTTCATTGCTTCCTATAATGTACCAGATAACGAAGGTATCTCAGGACCGTATTTTGGCCGTGTGAACATACCTTCATGTTTAATTCAGTTTCACCTCAACATGTTGGTGCCTCAGTTTACAACGTAAACGTTCTACCTACACAGCAATACCTTGGAGTCAATAGTTTACTGTTAATAGCAGCCATTGTACTCGTGCTCGCCTTATGTCACTACTGCCCACTGGGGCAACGCAAATAGTGCTTATTTCGTATGTCACTATTGCTAACTGACCAGATACATCGCCCATAAGCGTTACGTAGTCATGGTTTTCTGGACAATCGTCCAATTACAACACCTGGGTGGTCATGTGTACTTCCTGATGACTCGGCGGCTTTAAGGTGTTGAGGGGTGTTTTATGTTTCATGGCTCATTCTCCTACCTGAAACACCCGCTAACACCTTCTAGTTGAACGGTTACTCGGTTGTATTCACAAACATCTTCTCGGGTAGTGGTATTTGGTTAGCGTCTAGACCGCCTCCGTGGTCTAATGGTAGAGCCTCCGCCCGGAGAGCGCAAGGTCCGGGGTTCGGTCCCCGGCCGCGTCATACCAAAAGACCGTAACAGATGGTACTTGTTGTTACCCTGTCTGGTGCTCAGCATTAAGGTGCTAAAACAAGGACTGGTCGGCTCGGAGTCAGTATACTGTGCCTGAGTGGGATATTCATGTTAAACTGCGCCATGGTATCTGTGTGCTAGCACTAAAAATCGGCATCAGTCCGGACAAGTACAAGCAGCCACACACACACATACACGTGCATGCACGTCGCTATATAAGTGCAATAATCTTGGACGCGACGTTAAACCCCATTTCACCTCACCTTACCTAGTTAGCGTCTTTAGACAGTGGCGTTTTCGAAAGGATTATAAAGCAGAAAGGTTTTACGTACTTTAACATGAGTAGCTCTTATCACACGAGTATTTCTTGTATAATATTATTTACCCTTGGCTATGGCATCAATTTATTTCAAATAGTTTTCTTGACACTTGAAATTAAAGACGGAGTATATTCCTAACCATGTTCGATGCCATTGGCATTATGAGGGGTAGCGTCGTTTGCCCGTCTGTGAATGACGTCATGATGTGCTATATGAGCAATACTACCGCAATGGACCTACTGCAATGGACCTACTGCAATGGACCTACTGCTGGATACATTGTATGCCTGAACTGGAGGATGGTCCTCGC